GGGGGAGGTCGGAGCGGGAGGGGGTCCCTGCTGGGTGCTGGGGGGCAGCGTGGGGGGCGTTGGGGGTCTTCCATCGACCCGGACCTGTCTTCTGGTTCAGGGTCTTGTTGGAGGAAGAGGAGGAGGCGGAGAAGTTGAGGTGTTCCTGACTGGAGGTGGACGACTCCAACGAGGAGGAGACCTGAGGCTGAGGGGCCCAGTGCTCAGGACCCCCTGGAGAGAGACACATTAAAAACACCGTCAAAGGTTTGTTACTCGGTTGAGACCTCAGCTTTATGGCCGTCATTGAGTGTTACCTTCAAAAACTTAACAGGGAACATGACAGGTTTTTTTCTTAAGTATCAAAACAGCAGGGAGTTGTAATATTAGAGAAAAAGAAAATTGACCCCACAAATGTCTGAAACCAAGATTTAAATCCATATGCTCGAGAGAAAGATGAAGAGAGACAGAGGAAACTTTGGTATATTTTACCCTTCTTTGCAGAGAGAAGGCTTTTATGAGATCAGGACAAATATACAATACATTTCCTGATGTTTTTATGCAAAGCAACGTGTCAAGGTAAATAAGCTTTCAATATCCCAAACCATTGGAAGTGCTACAGTGTTGGCTTTAAATAAGTTAGTGCTACTAACAGAAGTGAGCAGTTTTATTTTATTGCTACTGTTGGAGAAGAACGAGAGCTCTCAATCTAAAGTAATGAAAGTGACTTAAAACAATATTTTTAAAAGATAAGCAGAATAAAAGGGACTGACCAATCTACAGGATTTCTCATTTTACAGATCAAGGGGCAAATGTCACGTCTCCTGTCTTTGTCATTCTGGATCAAATATTGTGATTCATCTCAATAGAGAGGCGAAGTCCCTCCCTTTCCGGGGGACCTCCATGGGACCTTATTTCTGAAAAAGTATGTATTGAAGTCAATGGAGAGAGAAAGATTATCTTTCGATCCCGTTTGAATTGTGCCACGAATTACACATATGATGTTTGTCAATTTAAAAGATAATTTTGTAAGTCAATTTTTTTTAAATGTGTTGTAAAACTGTGAAGTAACACTTTGTTTGTGTGAAACCGCTCAATGAACTACATCTCCCGTCTCGCACCACACACCAAGACGGCCGTCACGTTGGCACATTTCACTTCTTTCTTTCAGAATGAGGTGAAAAGTATTAAAAGAGGTGAAAATCACTCCAAGTCTGGGCATGTTGAGAGCTGTACACACACACAAGGGGAGTTAGTCGGTTCATAAGAGCCAGCATGCGGGACCGGGACTCTGGGATTTGTAGTCTTTCTAGTTGCGTATTTTTCATAGTCTTATATTTCAGCAGTTTTACGACAAACTGAGTTTTTTGACATGGAAATGATTTTTTATTGACAAACATCATATGTGTAATTCGTGGCACAATTCAAACGGAATCGAAAAATAATCTTTCTCTCTCCACTGACTTCAATCCATACTTTTTCCGAAATAAGGTCCCATGGGTCGGAAGTAGAAGGGCAGGACTTCACCTCTCTATTACATAATCATAAGCCACAATATCAAATGTGATTACATTTGGATGATTAAACCCACTAAGCTGTTATATAATCTGGCGTTTGGAACACCATCAGCTGTTTTTCCAGCCCCTCTTTCCTGAGGTTTCCTGCCTTCCTACCTCCTGGGGGACCTCTCTGGTAGTCCAGCTGGTAGTCCAGGTCTCTGGGCTGGTAGTCCTGCTGGTAGAGAGGCTGCATGTCAGGCCTCATGCCTCCTGGTTGGGGGTACAAATCCTCCTGGGAGTGGTTGATCCGCTGGGAAGAGAAGAGGACATCGAGTAAGAGGCAAGAGAAGCTGGAACGTCAATGAAGTAAAGAACACGGAAAGATTGAGAAGTAAAAAAGATGAAGGAAGTCAAATGTTAGTCACATAAATGAGAAGGGAGCATTAAAAGAGAAAGGAAGAAGACGGTGCAAAGACATCAGTTGTTCAGTATCCAAGACTATCTTTAAATGTACTTACATTTGAAATTAAAAAACAAAACTACTGACTTTTCAAGCAAATTAAGAAAACCAGTTGAAATTTAAAGTTGTATATGCCTATGTATACAAAGGCATTATAAGGGCCGTTGTAGGTTGAATAAAATAATAAAAATAAATAAATAAAAATAAATTTAAATAAGGTATTAGTATCCTAGATTTAAGGTATAAGAATCTGATTGTGTTCCCTTCCACAAAAAAGAACATTTTCTGTTCATTTTCGGTTAATTTTAGAAAAGTTACATTAGAATTACCACTCAAGCATTTCCTAAATTATTTGTAGGTATTCTGCGACAGTAAAGCTGGTGTCTGAAGCTGCTCTTACCTGCATGCTGTTGTTGTTGTGGATGTTTTCCACCACAGGGAGGCGCTCTCTGTCCTCCATGCCCTGCCAGTGCTGAGGGGGTCCCGGCCCCGGACCCACCACCCGGTCCTGACTCTTGGAGGCCGGGATGGTGAAGTACTCTCTCGGGTAGGTCTGGGTGGGGATGGGGTACTCCTCTGGGTGGGGGGGGGAGGGCTCGTCCTGATGGAGCAAACGTAATAATAATTAGTGTGAGAGATAGAAATATTTGGGACACCTTTCCAATACTTAACAGGCAGCAATGACTCCTAACTACTGGACATTAGTTAGCGCTTCCTGTTCACTCCTCCGAAAGTCAACTTGGTGACGTGAAGTCATGTGACCGTGCTGTAGTTCCTTTATAGCCCAACATTAGCCTCCTTTAGCTTAGCGGTGGTGACGTGAAGTCATGTGACCGTGCTGTAGTTCCTTTACAGCCCAACATTAGCCACCTTTAGCTTAGCGGTGGTGACGTGAAGTCATGTGACCGTGCTGTAGTTCCTTTATAGCCCAACATTAGCCTCCTTTAGCTTAGCGGTGGTGACGTGAAGTCA